TGGCCACCTACATGGTAAGGGGGGGTTGAGGGGAAGCCAAGGGGGCAGTGTGTGTGAGCGTGCGTGCGCGTGTCCCGGGGCACTCATCTGTGTGTGGCGTGGCCTCTTCCAGAGCAGCTCAGCTATAGGAACTTCAGGTTCTCTCTGGGAGCAATTTCCAATGTTATGACATTGTTTTGTGACTTGGGATATCAGAGTTTAGCACCGCCGAACCACAGCACGTGGGAGCACCCTTTACCGGGGCGGGTCTGCACGTGCAGAGGGCTGTATGCTTGTGGAACCTAGGCCGTACACCTGCTTCTTAGTGAACCCAGTCTGCGTGGTTTCTCCGTTTCCGTTCATGAGATCTGTTCTTCCAAACCTGAGTATGTTCAGGATATATTTACACTTGCTCACACTATTTACTTATTTATTTATTTATTAGAGAGAGAGAGGGAGAGAGACAGCGTGAGCAGGGGAGGGTCAGAGAGAGAGGGAGACACAGAATCCGAAGCAGGCTCCAGGCTCTGAGCTGTCAGCACAGAGCCTGACGCGGGGCTCGAACCCACAAACACTGAGATCATGACCTGAGCTGAAGTTGAACACTTAAACTACTGAGCTCCCCAGGCGCCCCATCGCACATATTTATACCACAGGATTCCCATGACATCTCTCAAGGAGCTGTTAGAAAATGCTCATTTTACTGTCTAAGGAAAATGTGAGTTGACAATGAAGAAATTACACCAAAAGGAAAAGTTGACATGTTTTTCTGTCGTGAAAGACCTGCCCGGAATGCCAGTTAATTACGCAACGCTTCCTGACTCCAAAATAGATTACCAGGCTGCCGTAACTCAAACAGCACGGTACCGGGATAGAGACAGACACGCAGGCCAGTGGAACGCAACAGAGGGCCCAGAAATGACCCCACGCGTACGAGGTCCCCCGCCTTCGTCAGGGAGCCAGGAACACACAGCACAGAAAGGACAGTGCCTCCGGCAAATGGGGGGAGAACCGGACCCTCATCTCACACCACGCGTGAAGACCAGCTCAAAATGGGTCACAATTTAAACACAAGACCTGAATTATAAAATTCCTAGAAGAAAACATAGGGAAAGAGCTTCATGACTCCCGGTCTGGTGACGCTATCTTGGACGTGACACCAGAAGCGCAAGGAACAGAAGCGGGCACGCGGCACGGCAGCTGGAAGGGAGGCGGTCTGTAGGGCGAACAGCGGCCTCCGGGATGGGGGAGAGGTTCACAAGCCGACCTTAGACAAGGGATTAGCGTCCAAAACTCAGAACGGCCTCCAGCTCACAGGCACAAAGGCTACAACCTGATTTAAAACCGGTGAAAACTGGCCAAACGGCCAGCAGGTCAATGGAAAGATGCTCAGTCAGGAGACGCACCCGGTCAGCGTGGCTGGCATCAAACACACGCCCCAGCTGGTGGCCAGGCCGTGGGGGGAAGGGAGCCGTGGTGTGGGGTTGGCGGGCGTGCAGAACGGTACAGACTGCGGAGCTTCCTCAGGACACTGCACGGGGACTTCGCATCCCCGCCTCGGGTACTTATCCAGAACTGAGTCAGGATCCGAAGAGCGGTCTTCGCTCCCACGTCCGCCGCAGCATTGCTGCCAGAGCCGGGATGCGGAGGCAGCGCCAGCGTCCATCCGTGGACAGGTGGGCGAGGAAGACGCGGTCTCTGCGCACGACGGAATACTCCCCCACCATGAAGGAACGACACGTGATGACACGCTGTGTGCAGAGTGAAGCCAGGCCAAGGGCAGTGCTGCCGAGGCCGCCCACACGAGAGGCTCCTGGAGTCGTCCAGCTCAACGGCGCGGAGACTGCGGCGGCGGAACCGTGCGAGGGGCCACCGGTCACGGGGCGGGAAGCCTCGGTCGTGCAGGATGAGTAAGGTCCAGACACGGGCCTGGGCGGCCAAGCCCAGGGTCAGAGGACAGACCGCAGTCTGTGCCCTGCCGCACAGAAGAGCCGGGTGAAGAAAGCAGAGGAAACCACGGCGCCTGCCTGGAGATGGAGGCTGGAGCCACAGACGGGGAGACCGTCCCTGGAGGCTGAGGGGCGCATGCCGCTGGCACCGTGGCCACAGCCCAGCACGCCATTTTGGACTCCTCCCCCCACACACCCCGCAAAGCCATCTGAGAGTAAATTTCTATTATTTGTAGTCACACACACACACACACACACACACACACACACGCAAGTTCCAGCAGCCCCCTCACCTCCAGGGGGTTCCCCAAAATCGTCAGCAGTAAATGTGTCAGGTCCACCAGATGCCGCCTGAGAGGCCGTCTTGTTGGCTCTTCTTTAGGACACTTGTCGTCTCCTTCGTCCAAGATAATGTTTGTTTTCAAGCCACCCAAGAAACAGTGGAATTTAGGGCACCCCACCCCCACCGATTCCTCAGCCCGGAGGGGCAGAAGTGAGATCTGTGCTGTTTTCACAGGAGTTTCACATTTAAAAAACTCTGTGCCGCTGCACCCACAGGCGAGCGTAACATCCCCCTCAAGTGGATTCGTGAGTAACTCTCGTGACACGGCCTCACGGTGTAGACAGCCCTGATGGAGACGTCCCCGTGGTTCTCGCTGAGACGGGAACGACGCTCCATAGGCAATGGCAGCCATTCTGACTCGCTGCCGTCGCGGCAGCAGGACAGGCCTGAGTCTCCGAGGGGTGCTGAGCACAACGGCCACCACCCTGCTCTCCACTCAGGGTCCCTGTGACAGAGGGCCCCCCGGAGCACCATCGGGAGCACGGAGAGCCCCCCGGAGCATCGTCGGGAGGACGGAGGGCCCCCCGGAGCACAGTCAGGACTGAGGGCCCCCCGGAGCACCGTCGGGAGGACGGAGGGCCCCCCGGAGCACCATCGGGAGGACGGATGGCCCCCCGGAGCACAGTCAGGTCAGGTGCACAGAATGCGTTCTGACAGCCCATAAGCACCTCTGCGAGGAGAGAGCTGTGAACTGGATATTTGGATGTTTAAGGTTTTTTAAACCCTCTCTCTTTAACAAAGTTTTGATTAAATTTCAAGGGCACAAGGTGTAAGAGCTTGTAAGGAAAATCTGTGTCCACAGAGGTCTCCGCCTCTGCGTGTGGCTTTGCTCACGTGTGCGGAGGGTGGGATGAGACCCATCTCATCGTGGGGCTCAGGTGGCGAGTAAGTGGACAAGGCCCAGATGGGGTGGGAAGGAAATGTCGCAGGTGCTGGCTGCAGGCAGCTCTGAGCTGCACAGGGTGAGAAGAAGCTCACCGGGGAAAGATGGTGGAGGGAAAAGGCAGAGCCGAGTCAGGGCGTGGCCAGGGTGAAGAGCAGCTGGGAACGCGGGCACCAGGTCGCAGGGCTCGCGAGGCACCACACGACCTCGGATTGTGCACCTCACAGCACGTGGAGCCACAGGGGTGTCAGCTCGGAGAGGACAAGCCTGAGATGATGATTTCAAATGGTCACTGTGATCGCTGCAGGGGAGGGGCTGTGGGAAGGGGGGGCAGGCGGCGGCTGGAGCGCAGGGGCTATGCTGTGCCCAGACCTGGGGGATGAGTAGATGTGTGTGTGGAGTTTGGAGGTCGGCCAAGGGGCAGGAGAACCAGAAGCCCCCGGGTGGTTCTGGAAGGGCCCGGCCAGGCACATTCAGGATGTTCTGTAAACTCTGGGCTTGGCAGAGGGATGCAGGCCGGAGGTGTCGCATGGAGGTCATATGCACCGGGGGTCTCAAAAGCGTGAGGGAGAGATTGGAACCCAGGCATCAGGTGCCTGGAGAAGCCTTGGCGGAGTCTGGGGTGTGAGCCCCCTGACCCGGGGGTCACTCCTGACTCCCACTCCTCCACGGACGCCTCTCCCTGCACCGCGAGCATGCAGCAGGCGCACCTCCGGGCCGTCCCTGCCGGCTGGTCTGCAGCCCCTGAGCCTCCCGCGGTCCCCACAGACCTCTGCTCTCCACGGTCCCCGGGGCAGGTGCGGGGGGGGCCGGCAGGCGCGGGCCGTTGTCACAGGACAGCTGGACTAGCCCTGGGGCCACACACACGAAGGGCACCCCGGCCCCCAGTCTCCTCTCCCTGCGTGGCCTCTCCGGCTCCCTCCAGCCCTGCACGAGGCGCAGTGAGGCTGCGCCCCTGCCCGGGGAGGAGTGGGCATGAGTCTGCGTCCGGCAGACCAGCTCCTGTGCAGGGTTCACGGCCCCGGGAGCCCCGGCCGCTTCCTCCTCCTGCAGGGCGCGCGCCACGGGCGCTCGCAGGACCCTCCTCCCAAACCGGGCTGGACTCCCTGCGCGTCTCCCACGCTGTTGGCGGCCACACGCATCATGTCACAGGCCTCGAGGTGGAGAGGTGCTCCAGGGCCAGATGCGAGTCCCACAGCCACCGAGCTCGGGAGGGGACGCTGGCGACAGCACCTGAGTGAGCCACACCTGACGGGCGGGGAGGCCAAGCCAAGGGCCAGTCATGTGTCGGGGAAGGAGGGGAGCGCACTGAGCTCCGGGGCGAGGGCAGCCGGTCCCCAGGGCATGTGGGAGAAGGGAGCGGGAGGGAGCAGGGGCGGCCTGCCGCGCTGAGCTGAGTGGGTCTGGCAGAGGAGCCCCAGGCAGTTTCCTCCTCAGAAGCCCCAGCTGGGCAGACCCGGCCCACTTCCCTGAGTGGCACTCCGCACAGGAGCCAGCGTGCCAGCCACGGGAACCCACTGTCTGAGACGTGGGAACGAATGAACAGCACGGGGCGGTCATGGGGTGAAGGACCAGAAGGACTGGAGGTCACCGTGTGATCACATCTCTGGACGTGGGCGCTGGGGGGGAGGGCACGGGGCGTGCCCTCGGCCGCGTGGACGGCTGCGTTCTCAGGAGAGGGCCGTGAGACAAGGACGCACGTGGTAGGCAGACGCGACCCCACGGAGGAGCAGACGTGCCCGAGGGGAGCAGGCGACAGCCCCACGCTCAGCCCCCCACGGTCCGCTGCCTGGACTTCCGCAGCGCAGAGCAGAGAGGCGTCCGTCATACTTTACAGCCCGATTGTTTCCATGTCAGCAATCAGCTCAGTGTGACGCACGGGGGACACCAGTGAGGACGGAGACGAACGGAACCAGAGGAGGAAGCAGGGACACGTAGAAACGTTTCTGGATAACGATAAGAAAGCTGGCTTGGCGGCTGTGGCCCCCGGCTGTGCTCCTAGAGGTGGGGTCTGGGGGGCACTTGCCGGACGGAAACCCCCACCCAGTCGGAGCTGAGGGTCCAGAGGTGGCTGTGGGCAGCGCCCCTGTTCCCGGTCAGGCCCGGGAGCCCATCCCACGGGCACCGTGGAGCCTCCGCCCCTCGAGGCGCCCCCTCCCCACAATTCAAACAGGGCCGTCTTTCTGCCCACGTGGGGAGGGGGTGGGAGGCAGACAGGCACCGGAAGAGGTGAGGAAGGGAAGCCACCCCGTGCAGGATTCCCCGAAGAGTCTCTGCTCCGTCTTACAGGGACCCTCACCTGTGAGGCAAGCCGAGTCCGGGGTCAGCATCTCAGGGGCGAAGCGTCCGCCTGCTGAGAGAGAGTAGGAAGTCGATCCTGCCGCGCCTGGCAGTGGTGGCTGCCCAAGTGTTGGCTCGAGAGCCCGCGGGAGCACTAGAACTGTGACCACAGCAAGAGAGGAGCAGAGACGCCTGCCCGCAAAGACGTGCCCGCGACACGGGCCCAGGGAGACGGGCAACTCCGCTTCTTCTCTTCCTCCAGAGAAAGGAGGACCGTGGAGGCCGAGCACGGCGAGAGGCCACGGGCGTCCGTGAGGGTGGGCTTCGCAGGACTAAGACAACCCCCTGACGGGATAGGGGAGCCATCCTTGGTGGTGGAGAGGCTGGGGTGCTGCTCAGACACAGACCCGGCGAGGGCAAAGTTCTCAAGAGCACGGAGTTCGGAAAGCCGACAGGTGATCAGGGAGAGCCCGGCGTTTCGAGAGTGCGGGTGAGGTCCTGGGAAGGATCGGGTGAGCAGAGGCACCCTCACAGGCTCACGGGGTGTGAGTCACGTCGGGCGGCTCACTCCACTGTTTCACGTTCAGACAGTACTACCGTTCAGTACTGGTACCGCTGGAGGTTCAGAAGGCGCTCGCCAGATCACTTCATCCCCAGGGAAGCAGTCGTGGGCACGGTCAGGCAGCTTACAGACGGCTGGGTAGCCGACGGAGCTAGTCAGCGGCCGAGGGCAACAGTTGGGCTTTGCCATGGGCGCATGCAGGGCCGGCCTCGTTAGCGGTTCTATCAAGGACGCAGATGAATGTGGAGGAAGTGTGTACTCTCAGCCGCTACTCTTAACAAATGAGGCAGAGATGTGAAGTCAGAATCTTGGAAGATCCTGAGCCAAGGAACCAAAACCAGAGGCACTCTGCCTGCGCCCCACGTGGCCTCCACCCAGCCAGTGACCACACACCTTCCTGCCCGGAAGGGAAGCCCGGCCTCGCTCACCCCATGTCCCGCAGCGCCTCCGGCTGCCCTCTGCTCCCCATCCCGTCTGGACCGTGGAGCGACTCCGTATAGAGTCGCTTGTCCCACAAGGGACCATCCCACGGCCACGGCTCCATTAGCTGATGGCTCGGTGGCCTGTCCCCGCGGGGGGGGTGGGTCCCACACGGTCACCATGCCACGCCAGCAACGAGGCCATGGTTCTTCTGCTTCGTGAGAAGCAGCCTTAGTGTTGACGGTGAGTCTGCAGTAAGATGTTCGTTGGGGCTGAGTTTATGTTTTGCACGTCGGTTAATTCAGTGTCACATTTAATTCCATTCCCAAGGCTTCCCCGATCCTGCACATTCCACAGAAACCAGAGGATGGGAAGCTCTCCAGGGCTTGCTTCTTCCATTGTTATTACGATGGCAGAGAGGCGGACGGCCGTGAGGGTTGGGATTTGGGCGCTCTTACATCCCAAGCACTTGGGCCCGAGCAGTAGCTCCTGGACAGTCCCCTCCCATGACGTGTCCTGTCACTGCTCTGTGGGTCTGTCTGGACCATGCTCACAACATACTCCAGATCGATTCTTCCTCTGTGAGATCAGTCCAGTTAATTGCGTCCCGACTCCAGCTAGAGTCTTTGTCCTTTTCAAACTGCCCTGTGTCACCATGCAGCGTCTGCTGGTTTCCACTCTGCAGACGGGTGACCGGGCACTTCCGTACGTCACCTGGTGCCCTCCTCAGTCCCTGGGTCACCGCTGCTCACCCCTCCCCTCTGGTGACCACCAGTTTATTCCCAAGAGTTAAAGAGTCTGGTTTCTGTCTTTTTTTTTCTTGTTTATTCGTTTGTTTTGTTTCTTAAAGTCCACACGTGAGTGAAATCGCACGATCTTTGTCTTTCTCTCACAGACTTGTTTCCCTTGGTATAATGCACTCCAGATCCATCCACGTCATCGCAAACGCCGAGGTTTCGTCCAATGTTCCGTAGCTGAGTAAGAGTCCATTGTATATAAACCACATCCTCTTGATCTGCTTATCAGTCCGTGGACATGTGGACTATGTTTCCATAGTGTGACGATTGTCAGCAGTGCCGCAGTAAACAGGGTGCACTTATCTTTTTGAATTAGCGTTTTCATATTCTTCGGATAAATACCTAGTAGTGCAGTTGCTGGGTCGTAGGGTAGTTCTGCTTTCAACTTACTGAGGACCCTCCGCACCATTTCCCAGTGCGGCTGCGCCGGCTCGCACCCCCACCAGCGGTGCCGAGGGCCCCCTTTCTCTGCATCCTCACCAACGCCTCTTGTGTCTTGTGGTTTGGGGACTGGCCGTCCCGACAGGTGTGGGGTGGATCTCACTGTGGATCTGGTCTGCATGTCCTGACGATGAGACGTTGGACCCCCTTTCCCGTGTTGGTGGGCATCCAGGTGTCTGCTTTGGAGATGTGTCTGCTCAGTATAGTTTCTTCCTTTTGAGAGCAAGGTAGTGTCTGAGTCTTCTCTGCGCTTCCAGGGGCAGGGACCGTGACCCCCACATCGGAGTCTCTGATAAACCCCGGGGACTCGGGCCATCGGCGCTGAATCCTGTGTGCCCTCCTGAGGTGGCAGCGCTCATGTTCTGCATGACGCGGCCATCTGGCAGAGCGCGTGAGCGTCGGTGAGGAGAATGGTTTGCTTGGAGCGTCCATGGATGGGAAAGTCCATGGGGACAAGAAAAGCCGTGGCCCTTTCCGTGGCAGAGACACGATAACACAGTGACCACTGTTCCATCCTGAATCTAATGTGGATATTTATGTAAATTTGTTGGAAAGTTGACGGGATTTGCCAGCCCCCCCACCCCAATTTGTGTGGAAGCTTCATCGCAGGCCCAGGATGCACTTCTTGGCTCTCTCACTGTGCTGGGAGCTTGCATCCAGCCAGGCCGGGCAGGGTGTGCGCCTGTGCTTCGTCCAGAGCTACCCCTTTGTAGTCGGCTCCCCGTCACCAAGCTGTCACACGCCCAGGCACTCTGCTCCGTTCAGCCGTTGTGGCTCCGTGCACTCAGGGCAAAAGGGCAGAGACCTTCAGGGAGAGGCTGGCCTCCACCTCTGGCCTCCACCCCAGCCTCCACCCCCAGCCTCCGCCTTCAGCCTCCACCCCCAGCTCTCCCTACATCTTGGCTGTATAAGCATCACCAACAACCCCGCTAAGAGCTGACTGTCCTTTGCCCTTTGCCCTGGGCAGGTGAGTCTGGAAGACTCGCTTGGTCAGGCTTCATTGATTTCTCAGGGGCAGCGCCAGGGGCCTCTGGGCCTCTCGCCCTTGTGATTGGGAGGCAGCTGATCACTCCAGCCCCTCAACCTGGTCACCACCTTGGTCGGGGGGAGCTATGTGAGACTGAGCCTCTCTCCCTGAGGGCTCCCTAGATCCTCACCTCTGGGAGCCCACACCACTCCCGAGGGGTCAGGCGGCCGCCAGGGCAGGGATGCATTGGCTCAGGGCCAGGGGAGCCTGGCAACCGGCTGTCCGATGGCGCGTGTGCTGATCAGAAGGAGAGGGCTGCTCAGGATTGGGTGCGCACACCTGGCCTTGGCGGGAAGCCCTGGGAGAGCCTGGACCAGCAGAGGAAAGCGAGGACCGTCCTCGCAGACCTCGGGCGGCAGACACTGAGCTACTGCCTGACTGAGGGGCTCTGGGTCCTAATTTGGGAGAAGAGGGGCCATAAGCCCCGTCATGGATGGAAGCTGTTGGAAAATTCACAGACAGGCTCCCGTCCCTGGATGAGGACCCTCTGCTCTGGAGCGAGTTTCCTCTGATGACGGCTCCTGCGCAGAGGCCACGCTCCCTCTTCCCGCTGGCCTCCCAGCAGTGGGCGGGGACGGGGACACAGCGCCAGTTCCCACGCCCGCTGGCCCCAAGCGGCACTGTCTGGGCCTGGCGCCTGCCTTGCGGCAGCGGCTACAGAAGGGTGAGCAGGGGTGAACGGGAGGGAGCCGCGCCGGGCAGGGTACGCGGGGCCTCCTCCAGGCAGACGGGAGGTGGGTGGGGAGGCGGGAGCAGGAACCGCCGGCACCCCTGCCCGCGGCGCGCGCCCCGTAGCAGCGCTGCTCCTGGGATCCACGTCGGGCGGGGATCCTCCATCCCGATGGCAGACGTTTCCCTCCTCCTCCTCCTCCGTGACCCGGGCCCGGCAGTGTGCCCCCCTCACCGGTGAAAGGCTGTCTGTCCGCCCTGCAGACGCGCCCTGAACTCCGTACCCGCCCTGGCCGCACACGCGTAAGTCCCGCCGCGCCTGTCTCGGGAGACTGGAAGGTGAGGGGACAGGCGGGTGGGCCTCTGTGCCCCAGGCACCGACCCGGAGGAGGTCGGTGTGTGCGCCCACCCTCCCTACAGGGGCGCAGGGGCGCGGGCCCACGGTGGACGAGCTGGGCACTAGCGTCCACTGGCCGGCCGGGAGGCCACGTGACCCGGCCCGTCTCACCTCTCACCTCACCCGCCGTCTCACCTCACCCACCATATCACCTCACCCACCATCTCACCTCACCCGCCATGTCACCTCACCCGCCATGTCACCTCACCCACCCGTCGTCTCACCACCCACCCATCTCACCTCACTCACCTCACCCGCTGTCTCACCTCACCCGCCCGTCTCACCTCACCCACCATGTCACCTCACCCGCCATGTCACCTCACCCGCCATGTCACCTCACCCGCTGTCTCACCTCACCCACCATGTCACCTCACCCGCCATGTCACCTCACCCGCCGTCTCACCTCATCCGCCATGTCACCTCACCCACCCGTCGTCTCACCACCCACCCATCTCACCTCACTCACCTCACCCGCCGTCTCACCTCACCCGCCATCTCACCTCACCCGCCCGTCTCACCTCACCCACTATCTCACCTCACCCGCCATGTCACCTCACCCGTCGTCTCACCTCACCCGCCATGTCACCTCACCCACCCGCCATCTCACCTCACTCACCTCACCCGCGGTCTCACCTCACCCTCCCGGGAACTCCCGCGCAGGGACCCACCAGCCTTTCCTCTGAAAGGTCCGCGGTAGGAATCTGAATCCCATGAGGGAGGCCTTGCTTTGTTGTTTCCGATATCTTGAAAATCACGGGGAACCAGGCGCCCTGAGCAAAGGTGACGTCAGCCTCCGTGATGCCACTTTGGCCGGAACTCAGAATCTGCGGCGGAGGGGGGAGGGGCACCGGCGGGAGGGGCGCGTTCACGGCCTCGAGGCAGCGCCCAGCGGGAGGATGGAGGACGGGGGTTCGGAGTGGTGGCTCCCGCCTGGGCTGCGGTTAGGACCACCTGCGGGTGGGGGCGGGGCCGTGGGGCGGGGCCGTGGGGGCGGGGCCGTGGGGG